TCAAGGGACGGCACAGTAACAGCCACCTGGCCATAGCAGAATCCCACAACAGATCCCATAACCTGCCTGACTCACGGTGTATCTGAACTCCCGCATGGGAGATGGTGTTTACTGGCCCTCCAAGCCCACCTGAGACAGAGAAGAGGGGTAAGTGCAGAGCCATGTGAGCAGTCTGGAATCTGGGCCTGGGCTGGTTTGACAGAGCATCTGATGGTGTACGGTTCCACTGCCTCTCACTGTTATGCAGATGAACGGCCACTGCGTGAGTTGGCAAGGGTGTTGAAATGTGGTATTCGTAAATGAAATGTAGTATGTGCCTAGAGATTCCTAGTGACCTTAATGCATGGTTCTCCCAGGAGGTCTGACTGCCTTGTCACTCTTGGCAATATAGCAAGCCAGGTAGTTCTACAAGTTTATTGAATGCCTACTATGGAATATAACACTGAGCAAAACAGGCCAAAAAAAAAAAAATATATATATATATATACACACACACACACACCCTCAGGAAACTCACATTCCAGTAGGGGATATTTAAGAAAAAAATATATAGTACGCGGGATGACGGTAAATGGTAAGAAATGAACCATGTGGAGATCTGGAGAAGGAGTGTTCCAGGCAGAGGGGAAAGCACGTGCAAAGGTCCTGAGGCAGGACTGTGCCTGGCACAATTGAGAAGCAAGTGTGGCAAGGGGGAGAGCAGGGGAGATGAGGTCCAGATCCTACAGGGCCTTGTGGGCATGGTGAGGACTTGGCCTTTTACTCTAGGTGAGGTGGGCCCAGGACTGGAGGGGGCAGGAGCGTGTTCTGAGCAGAGGAGGGACAGGATCTGATTTCATTTTAACAGGACCCTGCTGGCTGCAGAGAACACACCATTAGAGAGGCAAGGGAAGCAGACACCAATGAGGAGACAACTGTAACAACTCAGAGAGAAATGGCCTCCTGGACCAGGGACCAGGGTGAGGGCAGGGGAGGGGACAGGAAGCGGTCAGTTTCCAGTTACAGGTTGAAGGGAAAACCAGTAGAATTTCTTTGTACTGAAAAGTGGAAGCAGCTTGGTTTTACTTGTGTGTCTTGGGGTCAAGAAAATTTGAGACCTGGTTAGAAAGTAGAGATATGGTTATCAAAATAGATCCCTTCTTCCAACCTCCTGGGACTTCTGATATGCAGGCCTTGAATGTTGTAGGTCTCCATGAGCTAACGTGGATGAACACTCAGGATATATTATCAAGTGGAAACAGGAAGATGCAGAATAGAATGTACAGAGTGAGCCCGATTTCGAAAACTAAAACTACAAGAAAAGAAAGATGCAAAAAAGAGTGAATGAATGGTCTGGAAGAATAGATACCTGACTCTTAACAGTGGTTGTCTGAGGTGGGAGCCGCTGAGACTGAAACTCAGAATCACCCTTCCGAGCACACAAAATGAAATAATTATAAAACCTATTTGTAATTATTTTTAAAAGTGCTGTGAGCATGGCTCCATTCTCCATCATAGCCATGCTCCTCTGAGCCAGTGTCCCCACCTGGGCCTCCTCCTTGGCCTCGACTAGAAGAGACGGAACTCAGGAATGAGAAATACTTTCCTCGGCCATTCGCTGGCTTGGGAGAATCTGGAAAGGGCCCACCTGGCTCCCAGGGTTTCTAAAAATAGAAAGTTGTCTTAACTTTCCTATAGGTTTGGCTTAGCTGTTACTTCTACTTGTTCCAATATGCCGTTTCTATTAGAGAGTCGTGCTCTGCACATGAAAATAAACTACGGCAGGAGCAAGGCCTTAAGTGGATGGAATTAACAGGGAGCTGCCCCTAATGGGTCACCAGAAATGTCCCTGCATGCAGAGCCTGGGAAGGCAGTGAGGAAACCCGGGCCACAGCCATCTGCACTGGGGCCCAGATGCGGCCTGTGTAGATGCCACCTCCTACCCAGCCCAGTCTCTGCATCCTTTCCATTGCTCAGAACAGGAGTGAGGAGTTGAGCTGTTGGTGGGTTTTAGGCAAGAGGAGGAAGCTGAAATATTTGTGTCCAGGCTCAGTGCCTAGAGTTTGACTCCCTTTGGGTGAGGGCTAAGGATGGTCCATGCCAGGATTTCTGAGACCCTGGGCACAAGCATATGTGCTGTGGGGCCGTTAGCAGTCAGTGCTCCAGGAGCGAGAGAGCGTGTGCGTCTGTGTGCACGTATGCGTGTGCACGCACACACGTGTACATATGAATATATGCACATAGACGCACAGTTAGGTTTATTATAAACTGTACTGGTGTAAAGGATGTACAGCACACAATTTACAAATAAAAATAAAATTTACAATACCCCCTTGTAAGTTTCATATATATACTCAACTGAGTCACACGGAAGGGGTCTGTTGATTTTTGCCCCCAACCCTTGTATCTGTAGTCAGCCTACGCTTCCGGTGATGAGTGAGGGCAGCCCAAGGCTGGTGGGTATTTTCTTTTACCTTAAGGAGTCAGACAAAAGTGATACAACAAAGGGTAGTTTGTCAATGAAGCGAGCAAGTGCCTTCATTTTGGGGCTATTCACAACGGGACAGCCACAGAGGGGACACACTTCTGTGCGTACTCTGCATCGTTAACTTTTCCTGTCTCCTCCCTCAAGTCTAGTCAGTCAGCAAAACAATAAATCGAGCCCTGAGTCATCCTGTTACCGGTTCCCGTGGTTTAAGGACTCCCATTGGGGCCGATTTCCCAGGCCACCAACCTGGGGTCCCCTCACGTGGACTTGGGGAGAGATGCGCAACAGCGGACAATCGAATGTGCTTCCACTGGACAGCACAGACGAAAGTAACCTCGGGAGCATCCAGAGCAGCAAAATGTCCTCTCAGACATGGAAAGGGATGAGCAGTCAGTACTTATTACCTTTGTAACATCATTGATTTAATTATAAGTCTGTGAAATATAATTTTTAATAATGGCTCTGTTTAGCAACTCGTTCACTACATTTCTGACAGTCTGACCATTGGCTTTCAAGAGCCGGGACCAGCTGGCTCCCGCACACCACAGTGTAGGGACCGTGTGGCAAAGAGTGTCATGGGTTGGGGAGGAAGCTAGTCCCTCCATCTCTGCCCAGAACCCAGAGCAGCTCAGGCACACAGAGGGTGGGGGGTGGGGGTGCTATGAGAATCTCGTGTGGGCAGAGGCAGGAGGGGGCAGGAGAAGACCAACAGGGCAGGAGCCCAGTTGGTGGGCACATGTGAGATACCCCTTCCCTGCTCCCCAGAAAGAACTGGGGGCCCTGGCAGGGGGTTTCTGAGCTTCTGATGCAGAGTAGGTAAGGGCTTCCTAGCCAGCACGCATCTGGGCTAAATCACTCCCCATGAAAGCAGTCCGTTCGGCTCCTCGGAAGCTCACAGGGCCAAAGGCCTGGGATCGCTGATGTCAGTAAGGAGGCCCTCAGTCCCTTCTTCGAGCCCACCTTCATGCCCACCTCCTCTGGCGCCTTCCCTGGCGGCAGGGCTCGTGGGAGATCTTTATCTTCTCTAAGCTTATTGAGAACTTACGTGCCCTCCAAGCAGGCTCTCGGAATTTTAAAAGTTGCAAAGAGATTTCAGAGATTTCCTGAAATAATCCCTTCATTTTATAGATGAGGGAACAGAGACCCAGAGATGGGAGGTGACTTGGTCAAGGTTACAAGAAAAATCAAGGGGAGAAGTGGGTAGGATGACCAGTCGTCCCGGTGTGCCCGGGACTGGGTGGTGCCAGGACCCCCACTCAGGTCTTGACTCAAGCCCAAGGCAGAGGGCCTGAGCCAATCCCCAGAAGGAAGGGAGGCCTGAGTCAGTACAGAGCTGCTACAGGGTGGAATTTTCCAAGAGGAGAGAAAAGAGGAGGCCACATTCTGGGTGCCGGGATCTCCAACCCTGCCCAGATGCCTAGCACCAAGGGATTTCCCACCTGCCTCGGCCCTGCTGTGTTTTTCCCGGGCCCTCAAATGTAACGTGCATCCTCCTCCTCAGTGCCGGGCAGACACTCACGGACTCGATCAGCAGCTTATCTCTGGCGCAGCCAAAGCTGTGAGGCTGTATATGCAAATAGCCTCCGATAATATTAATGCATGATTCCCCCCCGGGGGAGACGTGTGCAAAGCTCTGTATGTGTTTCACAATTCTGTTGCATCCAGAGGAGCGGTGGGGGCCCAGAATGATTTGAAGCAGATTTTTGGAAAAGCAAAATAAAATTGGAACAAAACCTAGTAGAGGCATGTGCCACTCTCCCCACGCCCAGCTCTCTCCACCCCTGCCTAATGTTCACTCTCTTCTCCCGTCCCCAGGAGCCTCCTACAGCAGGGTGGTGAGCCCAGCACGAGGCACTGGGCACTCCATTCCAGCCAGGAGCCCCTGCCCGGGACACGTGCCCCCGCCTGTCCAGAGCTGAAGGCTGCCCAGCCTGTGGCTGCCTCTCTCTGACCTCTCTGCCTGCCTCCCACAGGTAATCCTCCCCCCGACACCCTCCTGCACCCCTGCTTCCTGGGGAGATCACGGCATCAGAACAGAATACAGACTCCTGGAAGTGGACAGTTTAGGGCAAGTCCATCAGAAAGGCAGAGATCGGACTCTGATCTCTGCCACTGACCAGCTGTGTGACCCTGGGCGAGTCACTTCACTTCTCTGAGCCTCTGTTTGCTCAGTGTACCAGGAGGGTAATACTTGCCCCACCGGTGGCTCGTGGGGATTCCCTTGGCTAGAGCTTCATAAATGCCTCGCACAGCTTCTGGCATATGGCAGATACACAAGAAACCCAGTCACAGTAAAAGACCCTTAAAGAGCAGTTGTTCCAGCCACTCCCACTCCATTGCAGAGATGGACAAACGGAGGCCCAGGGAGGGGAGAGAACTCGCCCAAGGCCACACAGCAAGCCCCTGCAGTCCCATCTGGCCCCCTCGCTGGCTCCCCTCTCGGGGCGAGCTCCAGGGTGGAGTATGTGCAAGGGCTGGCTTCCTCACACCTCACCTCCCTCTAGCGTCTGGTCCCCACACCAGCCTCACTCACCAGCGAGCAGGTACCGGCGTTCAGGCCGGAGCACACCTCCTCCTCCAGGCAGCCTGGCTTTCTCGGTCGCCGAGGTGAGCGGAGGCTCCCATCCGCGGCAGGAGTCGAGCTGGGACTCCGGGAAGCCCGTCCAGACTAGCCAGTCGGGAGGTTGCTCACAAGGAGCCCACTGTCCCCCGGCCTTCCTTGCGGTGCCGAGGGCTGGGGGACAGCGCACTGCCGGGCTCTGATAGTGCAGCCGGCCTCTTATCTGGCCTGTGTCCGGGTGCAGGCGGCCGTGGAGCCGGGGTTCCAGGAAGCCCGCCTGGGGCCCCCCCGGCCGGCCCACTCTCCCCGGATGCTGCCTGCTTCTCTGGACGCGGCCGATTGCCCGTCAGTGTCACTGAGCTCTGCCAGGGAGAATTCCATGCTGGCCCCCAGCAGGCGGGGCCCCCACCCCTTCACGTCCCACCCCCCACTCCCATCTTGGCAAGGGGACGGGAAAAGGCAGCTAATTTCAAGTCCGCACAGCGCTTGTGGTCGTGTCCTGAACTCTCTACGATTAATCACGGAGCATCTGATTTCTGCTTCGCCTCAGAGGGGGGTGTGGGGACGCCTGGAAGTTTCTGTTTACTCCATTCTGCGCCGGGCTGTGTGCTAATCACAAACAGACAGGGACACAGCCTTGCCCTCCCCCCTCCGCCCCCACGTCCTCTCTTACCTTGCCACTTTCATGTCCCCTCCTGGCTCCTTCCCCTTCTCCTCCTTTCTTCCCTCTCGCCCTACGTCTGTCTGGATCTGATCCTCCACACACCTCTTCCTATGGTCCTGGTTCCCCCCCCCCCCCCCCCGAGCCCCCGTTGTCCCCTCTGCACCTCCCACTTCTCCTGGGGTGCGGATTAGCTTGGCATTTTCCCTTTACATCTTTAGCGTTAGTGGTCAGCTTCTTTTACTGCTTTGTTCCTTTTTTTACAACCTAATGTTCTCAGGCTTTCCCCACAACTCCCCCACCGCCCCTATTACATTTGTCTGTGCGACTCCTACAAACTTGACGGTGTCTCAGTAAGGGGGTGGGGTCCAGGCACTACATGCGAATGGCTCCCTTTGTCACCTTGGCACATCAGCTTTCGGATTCTGCTCAGGGATGGCCCTGGGAACAAAGCCCCCATTGACCAGCACCACAGAGAGGCCTGGCCCTGTGGAGCCAACCAGCCTGTAACACCTAGAGATGAATTTCTCTCTCCCTTGGCTCCCTTCCACCCCGCAGCCACTGCAGACAAGAAACCAGGAGTAAACAGCCCCAAAGAATAGCAACTGACACTGAGCAACACACATACTCTGACGGGTAATTTGGCAAGACCTTTGGAAACCAGAAATGAGCATATACGCCACCCACCCAGGACATAACTTATGCGTGTGCCTGAGGAGGCATGTACACAGAGGTTTGCTAAAAAAAAAAAAAAAAAAAAAAAAATTTATCATAGGAAACATTGAAAATAATGTAAACATCCATCAAACAATGACTGATTACACAGAATGCGGAAGGGTCATGCTGTGGCTTACCAGGTAGCAGTTTAAAAAGAATGAGCTGAGTCGGTAGGTAACAAAAGCTGTGGGTCTCCAAGACATATTATTGAGTGAGAAGGGGGTCAAAATGATACATTTGATATAATCCTGATTAACCCTCCCGTGTACACACACAAAGAATGAGATACTGTAGAAACACGTGTCAAGCCTGAAAAAGATGACCCAAACTGGGTCATTAGCTCTGGGCAAAAGGGAGGCAAAATGGTTTAAGGATGGTGCTCTTACCTGTAACAGTTTCATTTTGAAAAGTGAAAATGGGGGCGCCTGGGTGGCTCAGTCGGTTTAGCGGCTGCCTTCGGCTCAGGTCATGATCCCAGGGTCCTGGGATGGAGCCCCACATCGGGCTCCCTGCTCCACGGGAAGCCTGCTTCTCCCTCTCCCTCTCCCCCTGCTTGTGTTCCCGCTCTCGCTGTGTCTCTCTCTGTCAAATAAATAAATAAAATCTTAAAAAAAAAAAAAAAGAAAAGTGAAAATGGATTCATCTATTACCTGTGTCCTAAGCAGCTTCCTCCTCCTCCGCACCTGGGTGCAGAGAAAATTTCATCCTAGCACGTGCCCCCTTGGACTAACTCCGAGAATTCTCCAGTACATCCACAGAGAACGCAATAGCCGTGCTGAGGAGTGAACCCAGCAATTCTGCAGACACTCAGGTGTGATCACCTCCAGTTAGATGTGGGACCCCTGAGCCAGCAGTGACTTGTCACAGAGTGAATTCCTCAAGAGCAGGAGAGCTGTCTCAGTGACTCCCTCGGGGGCTTAGGTCTCCTGAAAACGAGGACAGCAGGTATATATTAGAAAAAGTATTAAAAAGTGCCGACTTGGTTTCAGGAAACGTCACTTACTGTAACTTAGGAAAACATGAAAACCATTTTGAAACACTCGCCAGTGTTGAATGTGAACAAGTCCAGGCCTTACGGAGAGAGCGCCACTGAGCAGTTTAGACAGTCCCCTTCCCCATCACTGAGGACACGAGGGACCACATCTCAGAGACACGACAGGCATGCGGTGCCCCTCTCGTGCTACTGATGGAATTCTTCACCTGTCACACGCCTAGGGGCTTCGGGAGCTGAGTGAGGGGAGCTACGGAACAGAAGACAGGTTCCATCGTCCAGCGTGCCCCACGGCCTCAGACGTGGGCTTTCCAGAGCACGTGGCCCAGGGAGACGGTGCACGGGGCTCCCGCTGGGGCGGAGCCCAAGATGGCTGTAGGGGCTGGGCCGGACAGAACGCTGAAGCTCCTGTGAGGAAGGCTCAGCTTTGTGCCCGCCTGACTTGACTGCCTCTCCAACATTTACTAATCTCTCTTTTTAATGAGGAAAAAGCAGGCCTCAGGCTTCGGTCGCTCAGCAACCAACGGCGTCTAGCTAGAACAGTGTTTGGCAAGTGACGATGCTTTTCCGTGGACAGTTTCCTATTTTGAATCTTTTAAAGTTTAATAATGAGTCCACCAGGTAAGGGGAGAGTGCACAAAATCCTAGGAGGACGTGGAGTAGAGTTCACAGCAACGTATTCATATTCACACTGGTTCATTCGTTGGGACAGATGTACCACAGTAATGCAGGAGGTCGCGTGTAGGGTGCAAAAGACTTCCCTGTACTTTTCTCTCTGGCTTTTTCCTGAATCTAAAACTAGGCTAAATGTTAAAGTTTACTTAAATATTTTTTTAAGATCTTACTTATTTATTGGTCAGGGAGAGAATGTGAGTGAGCACAAATGGGGAGCGGCAGGGAGAGGGAGAAGCAGACTCCCCGCAGAGCAGGGAGCCCAACGCGGGACTCGATCCCAGGACCCTGGGATCATGACCTGAGCTGAAGGCAGATGCTTAACTGACTGAGCCACCCAGGCGCCCCAAGGTTTATTTAAATATTTTTAATGAACCCAGAGAAAAATCAGCCCGCGCTACTTTTTTTTAACATGTAGGCCCGGAGAGAAATGGAGGAGGCAGACGGATTGTGGGAACAACGTTGACACGTAGTAGATCTCGGGGAGGAGCGTACAGGTGTTCTTGATGCTCTTCGCTCAACTTCTGTGCAGGTTGGAAATCTGTCACAGTGAAGGTAGGGGAAAAAGGAAATCAGTGTACAGGAAAATCTTAAGTACGTGGGAGCCCCTGGGGATGAATAGGGCCAGAGTTGTCACAGTGGTGCCTGAGTTGCGGGCATTTGGGGGACCCTAGGCGAAGAGGGGGCCTGGCAGGGAGACCCCACTACCCACTGTCCCAAAACCCACGCGACAGCCTCGCCGGGCACACGCCTTCCAGACGGTGCGGCATATCCAGTTCTTTTGGACTCTTTTCTCCATGTCCACCCACGCCCCCCTCACAGCATCCTCATGATGGAAGCAGGGCAGGTGTTGTCACCCACGTGCCAGGCTGGGTATTTTGGGGACAGAGAGGGATAGGCAGGAAATGTACTCGCAGGAGACAGATGTGTAAACAGAGACCCACTGTGCCAAGTGCTCATTGCAGCCCAGGTAGTGAGTGCTGGGCGGGGCAGTGCCTTTGAGAATGAAGGGGATGCCCCAGGGAGGTGTGTCAGGGAACGATGAGTAAACAGAAAGGTTATGCGATCTTTCCAGAGAACCTTCCTTCTCGGGGCCTCAGGGTAAGGCCAGAAAGGGCAGCCTTCGTGCCCTGCAGAGCCCTGGTCTCTGCCCCTCTCCTGCTCTGCTGAATAAACAGCCTGAGTGCCCTTACTGTGCCAGGCCCTGCGGGTTCCCCAGCCACCTAGCTGGGTACTCTCTCCCCTCAGGCTTCTCTCGCCACCCTCCTTGGCTCTCACCTGGCTAATACCTTAACCCTTAGCCTGTTGGCACCCAACCAAGAGACACATTCTCCCGGAGCTTTCTCTGAGCCCCTCCTCCGGGCACTGTGCCCCTCTCGGCGCCACCCCCACTGCCTTACCATGGCAGAGCTGGGTAAGCACGCAGGCCCTGGAGTCCGGTCCTGGCTCCTCTGTTCCCAGCTCTATGACCTTGGGCAAGTCACTTGACCTCTCCAGGCTTCCATTTCCCTGTCTGTAAAATGGGAATAACTATAGTGCCTCAGTGGTATGTTCTGAGCATTGGATGAAATAATACCTTCCTTCTTACTGTGAAGCCTGGGGACCAGCTGACTGGAGCTTGTTAGTAGAGTCCCGGATCCCACCCCCGACCTCCCAAACCAGATCCTGCATTTTACCAGGATCTCAAAGTGATTCGCATGTGTGTGAAACTTGAAAAGCACAAGACATTACATGGAAAGTCTGCAGACCCTGTCTGGCTCCTGTTAAATATCCGTGTCATCATCGTCACCCTCGTGTTGTCCCACGAGAGTACCTGTTTTCTCAGCCTTCCCCTCCACCTGGTCCATCCCGACCAGGACAACCCTAGTGCCATTGCACACTTAGTGCCCGGAGCAGAGTAGGTGCTCGGTAGTTAAGGGCTGAATTCACTCATTTGTCCACTTCTCGTGGAGAAGCCAGACTGGGGACTAGGTGGCCTCACTCCTGGCTTTTTGGACTCATTACTGCCATTAATGCCCCAGCACCCTACAAGACAGCGGGGACAAAGTCACAAAGTCTGGAGTGGTGAAAGAACCTCCCACTTGGGAAGTGGGGGTGCAAGCTTAACGGAAAGAACAAACCCCCAAACTTAG